GCGGGAACACGGCGAGAGGAACTCGCGCGGAGCAAAGGTAAGTGAATTGACACAGGGGGGACTTGGGGACTTAATATGGGGAACGAACGAATTAATATGGGGGATGAATTACTATAGGGGGATGAATTACTATGGGGGATGAATTTCTATAGGGGGGATGAAAAGTTTGTCTATGGAGGATGAAACACTATATGGGGGGATGAATTACTATGGGGGATGAATTACTATATGGGGGATGAATTACTATGGAGGATGAATTTACTATGGGGGATGAATTACTATATGGGGGATGAATTACTATATGGGGGATGAATTACATATGGGGGATGAATTACTATATGGGGGATGAATTACTATGGGGGATGAATTACTATATGGGGGATGAATTACTATATGGGGGATGAATTACTATGGGGGATGAATTACTATGGGGGATGAATTACTATATGGGGGATGAATTACTATGGGGGATGAATTTTATGGGGGATGAATTACTATGGGGGATGAATTACTATGGGGGATGAATTACTATATGGGGGATGAATTACTATGGGGGATGAATTACTATGGGGGATGAATTACTATATGGGGGATTAATTACTATGCTTACTATGGGGGAATATTACTATACCCCTACTATGGATGACACTGCTACACATCATTCATCTACTCTTGGTCGGCCCCCGGGTCCAATATATGAACCCATTGCGGCCCTCAAGTCAAAAAGTTTTGCCCCCACCCCTGATCTATACCATAGTTTTTAGATGCTATAACTTTCACACAAAGCAATCAATATACACTTATTGGGATTTTTTTACCAAAAAAACATGTAGCAGAATACATTTTGGCTTAAATTTATGACTAGCTTTGAGTTTACGATATATTTTTTATAGCTGAAAGTAGAAAATATAGTTTTTTTTTTTTCAAAATTTTTTGTTTTTTTTTTTGTTTATAGCGCAAAAAAAAAAAAGCGCACAGGTGATCAAATACCACCAAAAGAAAGCTCTATTTGTGTGAAAAAAAGGACGTAAATTTCGTTTGGGTACAGCATTGCATGATCGCAGCAATTATCATTTGAATTAGTGCAGCGCTGTATAGCAAAAAAAAGGCATAAATTACAGTATCTATACCATAGTTTGTAGACGCTATAACTTTCACACAAAGCAATCAAATATACACTTATTGGGATTTTATTTTTACCAAAAACATGTAGCAGAATACATTTTGGCTTAAATTTATGACTAACTTTGAGTTTACGATATATTTTTTATAGCTGAAAGTAGAAAATATTGTTTTTTTTTCAAAAGTTTCGTGGTTTTTTTGTTTATAGCGCAAAAAATAAAAAGCGCACAGGTGATAAAATACCACCAAAAGAAAGCCCTATTTGTGTGAAAAAAAGGACGTAAATTTAGTTTTGGGTACAGCATTGCATGACCGCGCGCAATTATCATTTGAATTAGTGCAGCGCCAAACAGCAAAAAAAGGCCTTGTCATTAAGGGGGGTAAATCCTCTGGGGCTCAAGTGGTTAGTGCAGGCTTGACACGATCAGGTCAGCATATTAGTGCTCCGTATAGTAATATTGCTCCAGTGACATTCAATAAATCCGTGTGACTTAATCCGTACAAAAACCCCCACTGGGGTCCTATGGAATCCTTAGCTGTCTCTATCAAGCCCATACTGTGGGAAACAGTCCAAGCCACTGTGCTTGTAAGGTTTTAACAAGCCCAGAGCTAGTGGTAAATCAAAGCTGCTTACACCCAAAAAAATAGGAGTTCACACCCTGCACGCTAAAAAAAAGTGAGGGCACTGTACATGGTTGATAATACCATATGGTTTTCATCACAAGACATTTTTTTCATCACTGGACTTTCTTATTATTATTTCTATCTTATCACTGGATTATTATTTTTTATCACGGGACTTTAATTTGTGATATCACAGTATTGGTTGTAGTTCACTATAATTTAAGCACAATTTTGTTTTGTTTTCTCACTGATATAATGTATATGATATATACTTTTAGAGGATATACAATGTATCGGTGATAATAGGAAAGTTATCATTAATATCAATATATTTTTTTAGTTTTGACACTGCGGAGTATGCGCTTTGATTCACCAGTCGGTTGTGAATTATATATATTTATCTATTTTGAAGTATCACATAGTGGCAGCAAGTGTTTTTCACTTTTAATTTTATTAATTTCTATTATATTTGATTTATTAAATAATATTTTTGCATCTGGTGTGATTTAGTGACATTGGATACATCTTTATATTGGTCACTTAAATATTCAGTAATGTACATCAACCAATCATAAATCACTCTGCTGAGGTCTAATGAAGACTAGTTTGATGCTGATTAGTTGCTATGGGTTACTGCACCTAAGGCCTAGCACTCAAGAATAATGCTGGTGATTTTATGGCAAGGTCAATTAGCTTTTTATTGTCAAAATAATAGAACTGATTATGGCAACCTAACTCCAATTTATTGAAAACTATCATTTTGTATGTAAATACTAAAATGCAATACAACATACTGTACATGGGAATATTGAATTAAATAGATGCTACAGTTCCTTTAGAAAGCAACGTTGCATACCTTTTACAGATGTGGCGAACTGAATAGAATCATATACAGTATATGTGCCCTTTCACATGGGCTTTACTATCAAGTCCTATTGGTTTTTCAAGTGGATCTGATAGAAAGCTCCATGCAGGTCTATGGCCAAGCGGATGTGAACGAACTTGAGTCTGTCCAGGTCTGGAAATAAAAACTAAAAAGAACTGCATTAAAAAGCAGACATCCATCCCATTCAGCCCCAATTTTGTAGGGAATCTGCTCAATGATCTCTTGCTGAGTGGAGCAGACAAGTTTCATTTGAACGAGCCCTATGAATACAATCATCTGCCTCAACCAAAGTAATAGTATCTGACATTGTCTTCAGATCTTCCCAAATTACCAACCCGGAACAAGCATAAACCCAGAAAAGTCAGTACTCCTGATACAAATGCTTGTTCTCTCTCAGTGACTCCAAAAAAAAAATGAAACCATTGGATCAGCATGACAGTAAGACAGCTGCTATTTTAGAAGGAGAAGTCAGCAATGACACTACAGATTTCTCTCAGTGAAGGTTTCTTTTAATTAATTAATGTTAGAAATGTATGTAACTGAGCAGACTGCTGATTTTATGTCGCATAAATAAATGATAAAGGAGAGGTTTTAAAATGATCACTAGGGTATCTCCAATTAATGACAAAGTAGTACCTCAATCATGTCACTGTTGTATATTAAATACAAGCATCACAGTGTTTGAATACATTAGTTTAGATTCATAATGACAGAATGATTAAAGATGAACTCTTGGGAAAGTAAAAATCTTCCCTTGTGGTGGGGCTGCCCTGCACTGCAAGGGATAAATGCCTGTTTAAATCTAGGGGAACAAACAAAAGCAGTTTTAGGATCTTACGCACTACAGCACCAGTCCTTGCAGCCTTTTCTTCCTTATTCTCCAGCGGTCGCAGGTCCTCTGATGTCATCAAGTCCAGTGCAGGACCCATATGCCTGGACACCGAAGAACAGTCCTGGGCTAGAGTGTAGGGAAGTACCAGCTTATGTGGGAGTGAAGGATTGGGTAAGTATAACTGCATTTTTGAAATGCCCTAGACCTAAACGAGCATTTAATTCTTGCAGCGTGAGGGCAGACCCACTGCAAGGGAGTATTTCTACTTTCCTTGGAGTTTGAGTTTTAAGCAGTTGGTGGATCATCCTTTACCAATACATGTTTAAAGCTGATCTCCACCTTGTGTTTAAAATTTAAAAAAAAAACACTTTTTCCACTGTCCTCTGCAGACTTAAGCTGGGCACACACAATTGCTGCAACTCACTGATCGAGTGCTGGTTTCCCAGCAGAACAGTAAGTTAGAAGCCAGATGTTAGACTGGTTTGTGTTGAACAGAGATGGATTTCAAACAATTCATTCGATTCCTGTTGAACTGGCTGGGTTCCGGTACGTGTGTCACCTTCACTAACGATCTAGAAATCCAGCACCATTCATTTTGTGGGTTAAATGACAAATAACCCACTTTGTGAGCCCAGGCTGTCAATCATAAACCCTCTGGGCTGCAACTTCATGCAGCTTGAGCTTACTGCAGTCCTGGACTTACATGTCATTTTATGAGCCCCACTAAGTCCGAGAGGGAGGACTGCCCACCACCACTGCCAGGAATAACGACAAAGGATTCCTGATTTCCCTGGACCAGCTTGAAGACTAGAAAAAGAAAGGTGTGTATAGGGAAGGGGTGTCAAACTCAATTTCATCACAGCCAGTATCAGCATTGTGGTTGCCCTCAAAGTGTCAGTTGCATCCGTAAGACTAAATGTCCAGAGCACCCCACCATGGGAAGTCAAGTGTCCCAAATCATCCCTTACATCACAGTGCAACTGCTTACCTAGTGCTGCTGCCAGGAAGAAGCTGGGGAGGAGCAGGGTAGCAGAAAGTGCAGGGTCTGGAGGAAGACCAGAGGAGAGCTGGAGTCAGCTCCCAGTCTGTTGAATGCTGTGACCAGGGGAGGCAGAGACGAGGGGATGCTGTGGTTGTACAAAGAGGTGCAGGATCTGTAGGAGGAGTTCTGTCCTCTCTGCTGTCAACTGCTGAAATGCGGGGGGTGAGGAGGGCAGAGAGAAGCCACAAGATCTGGCGGAGGTGTCCTGTCCCTAGAGGAGTGAGGGCCACATGAAATGGCATGGAGGTCTGGATTTGGCCCACAGGTCTAGTTTTAACACGTGGTATAGGATGTTATGATAAAAAAATAGACTGTGTGGGGCGTCAGGGAAAGAGAGGAAGCCAAGGGAAGGGAAATTTTGGAAAGCTGGAGTTCTGATTTAAAGTGCACCTGTAGGCATTTCCATTATAATAAGGTAGCAGGCACCTACACATTTTTCTATAATGTCCCAAAAGCCCTAAGACCCAGGATCTGTTTTGAAAATGCCAACTCTAACTAGGAAGCAGGGGCGGACTGACCATTTGGAAACTAGGGCACTGCCCGAGGGCCTGGGGACAGTAGAGGGCCCCATGAGATGCCCCTGGTACCTTTTTCATAGGCTTTTTTGAGTTTGGGCAAGGACAAGGGGCCCCATGATCCCCTATTGCCCGGGGGCCCCATGAGTTGTCAGTCCGCCCCTGCTAGGAAGTCAGCACTTTGTTTTGCCCTCTGAACCTCTCTAATGGACACTAAATGTGAAGGAGAGCCTCTGGGAGATGCTGACTTCAAAATCTAAACGCTTGGCATTTTGTTACTATATAAATCTCTCCCCTGCTAACCAATTAAATCCTTATACATACTCTATAAGCACTATATAAGAGCTCCTTTGACCTGTATGTAAGCCACAGAGGGGAATATTTAAAGAAAAAAAAAAGGGAAAGAAAAAATTGTGTCCCTAGCAGCTGTTCGACCCTTTGTCATACTACCGATTCCATTGCTGGTGACAATTTGCTAGCTATAAATTCATTAAAAGTCCACTTACTTTCTGCTACAGGTGGAGTAACAGCCATATCTTGGCGATTCTGCCAATGACAAAGTGTCTCAGGTTGCAGAATTGTCAGTGTGATATAGACCTGAGGGCTCATGCACACAGACATAATTAAATTACGCCTGTCAATGCTGAATCTTGATGCCAGAAGCTGGCAGAAAGTTCCAGCTTAAAAAATGACTGTAATGGCACATAAAGTGCATGTGTTTATGTGCATGCAGCTTTTAGTATTATATGTACGTAATTTCATTCTAGTGCCTAGAATAATCATATTAGCCACTAGAAATAAACTACGTGCATACTGTGTTCACATATTTTGTGCGTATGTGTATTAATTATGAAAAGTATACACCCTGGAATGTGAGACTCTGTTTTTTTTTTTTTCACAGAACACAGTGCTAAACTATGCTTTCTAGTGCACTATACAAACAAGAATGCACTTCAAAGTTGAATTAAATTTAAAGAATACACAATTTGCAAAAGAAACATGCAATATCTCTTCTGCAATAAAATACACCTACCTGTCTGTTCGCAATCCTCTGTAGTTGTGCACTGAGCTGTGAATGTGCAGCTCAGTTTACACTGTGATACAATGCCTGTGAGCATGGATGAATGCACTCCTGCACATGTACCCAAGAAAAGACACTGGCACCAGCATCAGACCATTGAACAGAAGTATTACTTTAGTTCTGCTTTAACTGAGTTATTTCTGTGACCATCAATACATTTGTAGAGCTATTCTTTAAATACAGGTCCTGATTGCATTATCCATGCCTTTAACTTCAGCAAGACATTCTCAATGCTCTGAGTGAAACATATGTAACAAGGGGAGAGAAGGTAATGGAACAAAAACTTGTGACCAAGTAAATATAGCGATTATAGAAGGGGAGGCTCCTTCCACGTGTCATTTTCATAATCGCAAAAGGCTGGAATGTCCTCATTTGAAATGCTACTGGTGTTTCAAGTCAACTCCCTGCTACATCCAACCTCAGTAGAAAAATAATGGAAGGAGCGCCAGACCAAAAGATAAAAGAGTCCAAATTAATTTATTTCATGGGTTTCCAAACTATGGCTCTCCAGGTGTTGAGGAACTGCAAGTCCCATGAGGCCTTGCAAGACTCTGACAACCACAGGCAAGACTCCCAGAGGCAGAAGCATGATGGGACGTGTAGGACTCCAATAGCTGGAGGGCCATAGTTTGGAGACCCCTGGTTTATATCATAGTATAAACTAAAAAACTAATTAGTGCATGTTTTTCTGGCAACCTACTGGGGTACCCACTGGAGGGTAGCCTTGTCTGTTGTGAATAACCTAATGTGAGCCATTGATCTTTCTGAATGTTTTTGTCCTCGCCCTACTTTTTTCTTTCTTAGCATCCAAGTTCAGTGTTTGCTGGCAAAGCCAGGTGTAACTGGCACTGTCCTTTTATAGGCAGTATTGACCTCTTCATGCTCATCTTTTCATGATACAACCACAAAATATCCAAATATGTTCCCCACCTAATGTGTCCACTGTATGAAGTGACCAGGGATTTTGCTGCATGTTGGAGAGCCATAGGGTGTTAATGGGTTAGTAGCTGGGTCTCATAGATATTTGGGAAGTAAATAACCAGAACAGTCCCATGACACTAAACCAGAACTTGTCAAATAAATGTCTATTATTAAACCCCAAATTCATAGTTTAGGGTTTCTCAACCAGGATTCATCCAGAGTTTGCTAAGGGTTCCTTGAGCAAAGAGCAATTTGTGCATTTCAAGTTCCCACTGACACCATTGATCTATTTAGCTATCTGTAAGGTCATAATTCTTCCCAATGACCACTCATGCAAGGAGCATTCTTCCCAATGACCATAACAATAATGTATTATAAGTTGTAGATCTAGTAATTTTTAGCAGGTGTTACCTGAGACTGGAAATTTTTTCAAGGGTTCCTATGTGTTGTAAAGGTTGAGAAAGGCTGGTTTAAGCTGACATTTTAGTTAAATCCCCCACTGTGCATCATGCTGTCTACCATTTGAAGCAGCTTCTGATATAACATATAATCATTTTTAAAAGGTCCCAGTCAAATGTCAACTGATCTTAAGAAACACAAATGCTTGTATGACTATAATCTTCTTAGTGATACAGCATTACCTGGACAACTGTATAACCCCATTTTATTATCGTTATATTCTGTAGTGTGACAGAAACCTCTGGATAAAACATTTTTTTCTCCGTTAAGACAGAGATGTATGCAATTATGAATTCACATCAAACTTGAGCTCTGCATCTAAAGTCATGTGCTACAAGATACATCAGATATACATCAAGGGAGATCATACTGCCTTAACACACAACCAATGAATGTATTCTCTTCATTTTCTAATCACTAAGTACACTTTGCCAGCTAGAAGTTGAAATCAGAAACAAATTAAAACAGTGTCAAAATGTCCCTCACCCCCCCATAGGATCATCCTGGTGGTCTTTTCCATGCCTCATCACTGGTTGTGCTCCTTCTGTACATGGTGGGCTCTGGGACATTCGTTGCGGGGATATTACCAAATAGGTTTCTAATACTATGGTCTATATGTGACATAATGTCAAATATAGCAATATTGATTTTATTTATACGTGTACCTAGTCTTTGTGCCTATAAAGTCCATTTGTAGTGTTTCTGTTTCTTTTGACTAGCCAGAAACAGATTAAGACAATTTTGGGCTCTGACCGTTAGTAACTGGTTCTTGTTCAACATTATTCCTGGCTGCATTTAATCACTGAAAGGCTTTTACAAGCTAGGCGGGTCTAAAAACCAGAATTATCATTAACTAAAATGTGTGTTGCAAACATGGATTTTCAACATTTTTGGAGAACGTCTTATCCCCTAACTATTGAGAATACATAAATACTATTCCAATATTATTTCAATTTATTTCTATAGCACAATACTTTGGCAGCCCAACCCCCTTTACACGTACTGAAAGCCTACTCAAAGCCCAGTGAGATACAAGACCAGCAATATACTGTAGTTAGTACTTTAAGCGCTGATCACACAAGGCTTGGCATTACAAGTTTTCAGCATATACAGTACACATTTTTCACCTGGTCTATGTAAATCAGTGGTAGGCAAGCTGTTAAATTTTAAAACCCAACATACAGGACCCAGCATCTCCAAAGGACCATGCATTATGATTATTTTATTTTGCTATAAAAGGGGAATAAAGAAAGTGTATTACTTCTGCTGAGTATTATTTTCAAAGCAAATATTTGCAGTAATGCTCAGCAATGTATACTGCATACAAAAAAGTTGAATATATTTCCTTCTCAACAACAGAATACATTGTACCTATCCTGTGATAAATGTGAGGGTTACAAGGGACAAATAATGTTCCTGTAATGTCAGATAGACTTTGCCATAATGCATGCCGAAAGCCTTCATAATCAAACTGAAAGATCTGACCGTTCTGGCATACTTCAGTTCTCCTCCCTTGAGGGTATACTGCATCATTCACACTTGGCAATAAATGTAAATAAGAACTAAAAAGTGCTTACAGAATATAGATGTACGGTGAATACACAATATTTCTAACAATTCTTCTTGCAAATGATTGTTTTGAGCATGCAAGTATTCATTTGGCATGTATGTCTATGCATTTTTATCAATAATTTCTGCAATGACAAAAATGCAATCATAAAAGGTTAAAACCCCACTCCAGGCAAAAAACAACTTTTAACCATACCTACTTTCCACGCCCCTTTAACCCATCCCCCTAGTCTTTTTTTTCCCCCTTACCTGGTGAAGCCATGTATACTCACCTTAAAGCGGAGCTCCACCCAAAAGAGGAAGTTCCACTTTGAGTACTGGCCCCCTGCTCACCGTGAGGAATTGGCACCTTTGGGGAGTGGGGGTACCCGATTTTGACTGATCCGACTTCCGCTGTGACTGCCTAGATGATCAGAAAATGAATTTGTCCTTCCTCCCTCCCTGTAGGGACAGGTCCCAGAAGACTACAGGGCTATTCAAAAGGCTCAGTGGGCACTCAGCTGCGAAAGTGCAAGCTGTCACAGCCGGGTGCCCACACTTAGGATGCCGGAGCCAGAGAGGGAGGACGGATGGTGAAACCAGATGTGGTGAGTACACCACTGGATCGTGGGACAGGTGAGTGTTTTAAAAGTCAGAAGCTACAGTTTTTTGCAGCTGCTGACTTTTATTTTTTTTAAGTTTGATTGGCGCTCCGCATTAAGTTGGCCATACACTAGTAGATTTTTCAACAAATTCATACAATGACTTGACAATGCCATTGGTAGGTCAAAATGGTGTTTGCTTTTAACATTCAATTTTGAAATTAATGGACTTTACCAAACAAAAATTACATTCCCTGCTTTTAACATTCAATTGTGAAATGAATGGACTTTACTGAACAAAAATTACATTCTCTGTTAGAAAGCTGTTCACTCAAGAAATGTTTTCCACTCTGTTCCTGTGTAATTTCCTATCAATGCGTTCAAAAATGAACATCAATTTGACCCTATTAATCAATAAAAAAAATCAAATGAACATTCCTAAAACTAAAAAGTTCAAACCAAGCTCTACTAATCCATGGCCGACTTAAAATTGTATTACATCCAAAAGCAAACATTTATTATATTTCAGCTTACCAATTCTTGGATGTGATAGCTGCATCATTTGTCCTTTATTTTCAGCTGATGATCCAGCCAGTAAGTCTGTTGTT